CCAAATGTGCAAGAATAGAAAAAAATTGCTAATAAGAAAAACAAATCTGTAAGAATAAATTCTGTTGAAAAGTCATGCAATGTGGATTTAGGGTAGACTCAAGCACATATGATAAAATGGTAAATCCACCCTTCAAATGGATATTTCCTTATGGGACATCTCCATATAATCAAGCAGCTGGTAGTCTGGAAATTAGGACAACCATGACCTGGATGATTGAGAATCTCCATAGACATCTAGAAACTAAACTTTTCCCCTTGGTCGGTGGCTTACAATCTGGTAACTGGCACTAATCCTCAAACTCAAGTGTTCCTTCACTTCAGCTGCTGGTTTTCTGTGCCTTAGGAGCTCAAGGCAACAGAATGGACATAGCTCCCACAGATGAGCAGATTTCATTCTCTTGACCAGTTTCAGGTAACGCAAAATAGAAGGAAGGTACAGAGTAGTGCTTCTTCTGAGCAGAAATGCCCAACTAATGTTTCATGTCGCCTCCTGATTCTCTCTCCACCCCCGGAACTACTGGAAAATATTAAATTAATATGGTAAAATAGTTTAGAGTTTTATTAATAAAGAACTAAAAGCTACTTTCAAATGATAAACATGTATATTTCATATTTCACTAAAATGTCCCTCTTTGGGATTTTGGTGGCAATGCCCAGATTAATCCTGTTTAGCTGGAAGGTGCCTGACCTTTAATAAGAGCAGGACATAACATCTTTGAGGGAAGGGGATGAGGGGAATGCAGCAATAGGTGTGTTACTGTGGCAGAGACTTTGTGATATTTTACAATCTTTTGCAATGATCATATTATACTAACGTATTCACTAGGTCAGGGGTAAGCAACCTTGGCTCTTTTATGACTTGTGGACTTTAACTCCCAAAATTCCTCAGCCAGCTTTGCTGGCTGAGAAATTCTGGGAGTTGAAGTCCACAAGTCATAAAAGAGCCAAGGTTGCCTACCCCTGCAGTAGGTATAAGAGTAGGGTTTTTTTCCTTTCTTTTTTAGTTTGCATTTTGGGGGAGGTGAGATTGCCTTTTTTTCTCATTTTTTAGTTTTTAAAGTTTAAAAATTTTATTAACTCTTTTAAGTATAATTTTTATGAAAATAAATATTTTTACTAAAGGGAACGAGGTGGAGGGGTTAGTAATGAAGTGTACTGCAATGTTGCAAAACGTATTTTCATATTGGGGGCATTTTCTTGGTTAGGAGCAGATGCCTTTGAGAGTAAATGGAACGATTTAATACACTTCTCAGTTACAGAGAAATGTCCTCGCAAACAAATTAAGTTGAATATTTTCTGTTTCGGAAAATTCATCAGAACCCTTGAACAATACAAATAGAAACAAACTGAAACTGATACAATCGGAGGAAGCAGACTGAGGTATGCTAGATAAGCACAGGAAAAGGGAAATGTGTTTGACAGCATATTAAGCTGAAATTTTACTTCTGCAGAAACTTTGCAAAACTATATATAGAAACTGAACCATGTGTACATTATGGAACAGCACCACAGTACATTTAACATGCTGTAGTCTAAAATGCAAAAGAACACTACTGGATTAAACCAAAAGTCTTTCTTCCTTCTTGCCCCATAAGTGGCAACACATGACCTACATTAGCTCACCGGTAGAGGGCAATGGAAGAGTGTGACCCCAGCAACAATAACAAAAATCACAGAATGGCAACTCTTCTATCAGAGCCAAATAAGATAGACATTCTGATCCCTAGTGTGGGCATTGCTTTTGTAACAATGTTTTGTTTTATTTATTTATGTATTTATTTATGTATTTATTTATGTATTTATTTATTTAGATATAGATAGATAGATAGATATAGACAGACAGACAGACAGATAGATATACCGTATTTTCCGGCGTATAAGACGACTGGGCGTATAAGACGACCCCCAACTTTTCCAGTTAAAATATAGAGTTTGAGCGAGAGAGGGGGGGGGGGGAGAGAAAACTTGATGAGTAATATGCCAAACCACATGTGTAAAGGAATAAAATAGAATACCCGTATTTTCCGGCGTATAAGACGACTGGGCGTATAAGATGACCCCCGACTTTTGAGAAGATTTTCAGGGTTTAAAAAGTCGTCTTATACGCCAGAAAATACGGTAGATATAGATATAGACAAGTTTTATTAATTTTCCAATTTTACCTCAAAGTGCTTAGGAAACAACGTGGTGATGGGGTAATCAGTTATGCAAAAAACAAAGTCATACACATATAGGTCAGGTTAATTCCTTAAAGGTTCCCTCTCTATTTCCCTCAGTTAATATAACATATTTAAATTAATACATTTCTAAATGAACTTCAATCAGTCAAGAGTATTATCAATAACATTTTACCTATACAAGTCCAAATCCTGTTTTTAAGCTTTACTAACTTCCAATTACCGTATTCCAATTTAGCCTTAAATAAACATATTGTTTACACTTCGGGTATCCCTATATTGATGCGCTGAGTGTTATCTTCAGAATCTGTTAGTGAATTAACGTTGAAGTCATCACTATTTATTTTCCTAACTTGATTTCAGTATATTACGTCCTAGATATCATGGATAGTTAAGTATATTAATTACAAAGCTAACTAATGGTAATGCCAAATCAGCAAATTCAGGAGTTCTCACACTATTTCACCTACAAATAAGGCCAACACAGATCGTTAAGTCCACAAATGCTTCAGAATGATGACGATAAATGAGCCAAAATCTTCACATGTAACCAAAAAATCCTGGCCACTTTATTGTCAAAAGATTTAATTCTGCCTGAGAGGAGACAGAACATATCATAACCAAATGTTCTTCTGGAAAACAAAGTACAGCAAGCATGAGAATATTTTCTATGTAAATCCCAGTAGACGGAACAAACAAGAGAGCAACACATAACCTATTGTTGCCATATCCTTGTACAGAGGCATATACTGCCATTAAAAAGCTATTTTTTAACTGCTGATACATTAAAATGGCCAAATGCCTTCCTACGCATGAGAACGCATAGGTCTGGGAGATACTTAGGTTAGCAGCTTATTCCTGAAATAATATAATTCTAGAAAGAACGGTGAATATAGGTCATTGATTGCTGAATAAGAATCTTATCCGCATGCTAACTGTATTCAGTAATATATCATTTAGCTTTTCCAAGGTTTTAGGTATGGGCACTGCCCTAAGATCAAGTATCGTAGTTGAAAAATTGAAATGTTTAAATCATTAAGTGGGTTCTGTGTCTTACTTCATGTCAATCTTTCTTGAAAAAACAAGACATTTCATTTATTTAAGCCAAGACTACTATGTTCTGATCTGGCTCCTTCCTGTCACTTTCTTAACAACTCCTATTACTATCCAGTTAACGTATTTGTGGTGGGTGCTGCTTTGGGATTATAAAGCCCTAATGACTAGAAGTATCACCTGTCACTACCCCTGCACAGCATCACCCCAATCTGTGCATCTACATCCAAAGCAGAGGCATTACTTGCTTTCCCATTGATGGATTGGCTTGAGCTCAATGACCACGGGGGCCTTCTCAGTGGTAGCTCACCAATTATGGAATTCTTTCCCAAGGGAAGTTTGCCTAGCCCAGGGGTAGGCAACCTTGGCTCTTTTATGACTCGTGGACTTCAACTCCCAGAATTCCTGAGCCAGCTGGCTCAGGAATTCTGGGAGTTGAAGTCCACGAGTCATAAAAGAGCCAAGGTTACCTACCCCTGGCCTAGCCTCTCCCCATATTGTCCTTTCAGAAAACAATGGAAGATGTGTCAGAGATTTGTAAGTTAGCAATTAATAAGAACTGGATATTTTATATTGCCCGTTTTCCTTTTACTATATTGAAACGATTTTTACTTTTTGAAATATATTGTTTTTAAGTTTTATTGGGTTGGAAAACTTTTTTTTATTCTATTGCTGAGTGCCTTGTTTACAATGGCATGAAACCGAATAATCCAGATGCACACCAGATATAAATTCCCCTCTGGATCTAAAGGAGATCCAATCAGTGCATATAAATAGTACAAAACTGATAAGAGATATGATGTAAACATTTTTCCCATTGGCTCAATGTGATTGTTTGTAGTATGTTTTAACAGTTTAGTCCAATTTTAAAATCTTTACATCCACTGGTTCCCCTGAGAGATTTAAATATATGCTTAACGGTTCTGTTGCTGAAATTAATGGGCCTTACTTAACTTAGGCTGAATTCTGTTCAGAGATAAGGATGTTGTAACAAATTAACGAGATAAAGCAAGGCTATTCTTGAACAAACCTTTTTTTAAAATCTATGTTCCCACAATATACTCAACTAGCTGATCCTATTTGCAATCTATTAGCCTTGTTCTACTGATCTTCCACATCAGAATTCTTTGAAATTTCTCAACTTGTTCTCCTTTGGTGTTTCCATCCAGCAACACACCATATCCTTCATTCAAGAATGTGGTGTCACGGAATTCTAAGTGATTATAAAACATGAAGACAAGTCCTGCTAAAGCTGACCAAAGACTGATTTACTTCCCATATTGCTTCTAATCAATTGCTTCTAAAAAGTCCACAAAGAATAATGAAAAATTCAGTGGGGGGAAAAAATCCATGTAAATGGTTGGGGTAGTCAATGGCTATGTTCTCAAAACATACTTACCTTTGTTTAATTTGATTAAGATTACTAAATCCATTTTTAATGCAGCAATAATTAGGTCAAACTTGGTTGGATAGTGTCAGTCAGTGTGCCATGGAGCATACTAATTACCTAATTCAAAAAATGTATCAGTAAGTAGGACTTCTGCATTGGAGAAATCTCCCTTGTGATTGCTTGGCAATATGTAACTAAAATGTTCATAAGTTATTTCCAGCGTTTTATCCAATATACATGCATACCCAGGAGGAGATATTAATGCAGCCCCTGCTGGTCCTTCTGTGTTGTTCACTGTCTTAACTCCAGCCTCAACAATCAGCTAAAATTTCTATTTGTTCCCATAGTCCATTTTTGAATAGGCAGAGAGCTATGGGATGACATTACAAAGTACCTTTATTGGACAGACATAACACATTAAATTGAAATACAAATGATTACAGTGGATTGAAACCTTTTTTTAAAGTAAAAATATACAAACTGTATTCAAAAGAGTATAAACTTTTATAGTATCCCAAAAGGTGATATTTAAAGTGTCCAGAAGATGAATAACTAATTGTGCAGTGGAAAAAAGTTGACCTAGCATAAAATCTTAAACTGTGTCCATACAACATACTAATTGACATAGCTTTACTAGACTCACCCAACAGCCTGGGTTCACCTCAGTCATAAACAATGTAGACTGGCTGGTCTATAAAATAGTCAAGCCTATTTTTACTTAGAACAAGTTGTGAATTAGTCATAGTCTTTCAAAACCATCCCAACTCCATGAACAAAATATGTAGAAATGATTTCACACATGATTTAAAGTGTTAAAAGAAGAAAAGAATATTAAGATTGCAGGCTGCAGGAGAAAGTGTAATTTCAAATCATTATTCACTTTTACTCTGGACAGATTACAAGAAAGCAGAATATTTACAAAATGGGCTTTCAGGAGAAAACCAATGCTGCATACAATGCCAAACTATAAATTGTACACAGCCACTATGAGGTATAATAGATAAAAAATGGGCTTGAAATCTTGTTTAGACCTGAGGTCACTAGTTGATCTGAATCAGTAATCCACTCCCTCAGAATATTCTGGTCTACAAATCTGAGCAGAATTCCTACGAAAGTGGCAAAATATAACAAACTAATTTGAAGTTCGAAATCTATAACAGTTGTGCATAAATATTAAAATGTGTCATGCTATATAATGGTTCAGAGCATTAAAACATAAGTTGTATTTATTAAAGCAAACCTTTCAAAAATAAGTTGAAACGTCAACGCAAAGGTTGGCATAATAATCTCTAGGGGAAGTGATTTGTTTCTCTTTTATCATATGAATGAAATGCTGGCATGGAGTCCATGCTAAAGCTTAAATGATTACAGAAATAATTTGCTTCTCTGTTTTTTCTTTTAACAGTGCTGGGGGAAGGATATCAAAGTAAGTTACGTCATGCTATTGTATATGTAATGGAAAGAAAAAAGCACAATTATCCTGTTAAACACATCTCCACTATTTCAATAGAAATGTAATAAAATGCTTAAATTGCTATCTGAATTTAATGAGGCTAAAAGGTAACTAATATTGGCTCAATAGGTTTCTCAACAAGATTAGAACATCAATACATACATCAAAAAAGTATTACTACTGAAATTTTCTATTAACTGGGTAAGGAAGATCAGAGTAAAACAAAAAAACAAATCCCCATTGTGAAGAATTTACCAAACCCAGATAAGCTAACACATACCAGGAAACAATTTGGTCACTGTGACATGAAATCAAATAAATCTTTCTGGCACATTAAACAGTAAAAGAAAAGACCAGCAAAGATGCATTCCCCATGGTATTCAACTATGTTAAAAATCTTCAGATCAAATGTTACACTTCTGCTTGACTTTACTTCAGAGAAAACCATTTTAATAAGTGCATAGATTGCTTGGATAACTAAAATGAAACTTAGTGTGACTAATTTATAGAGTATTAAAAAGAGAGGCTTTCAGTGGATGCTCTGGGACCTGTATTTTTCTGCAAGGGATTAAACTGGGGATAGAGCCTTCTTTAAAAAACTCAGCTGTCTGAAATGGCTTTTGAATACCAAGAATATGGGCCTGAAGACAAGGTAACTCACTTCCTAATATTTATCGAAACCTGGGCATCTGCGGGATTGGAGCGCCCTCTATTGGAGTTGAGGAAGGGACTGCTAGCAGATGCCCACCGTGCAGCCTCTCATTTACGCGGAGTTCACATCCATCCTGAAGCATTCGAATGGCTATTCGTGCAATATTCTTGGAATCATCCAGCCCACTGTGAGGCCGTCCATCATAGTCCATCCCAAGTTTTTCCAACATGGTTGACAGCTTTGTTTGGCATCTAGGAACCTGGAAAATGAATTGAATCATTCTGAGAAGATGCAGACAGAAGAGAAAATCTGTCTACATTACTAGCTGCTCTAAATTCTATCCTTGCCCACATATGTGTGAGATGGCAATGGGCTCTTCCATATTCCAGCTATGCTCTGAAGTGCAGCGGGTTTTCTACATGAAGGGGTGCAATTTTAAAGTAAACTGTTTTAATTTAAATAAATAAAAGTACAACATTCGGCATACCAAACCTTTTCCCATTTTTGTTTCTGAGAACGTCTCTGTTACCAATCCAGGTATTTAGGAAATTCTTAGAAAACAAAAATGATGGGTAGTTATAGACCAGGATTTTATTTGAAAGTATATCCACCTGCACCAAAGAAGACAAAAAGGTGAAGCTGGGAAATTAAGAGCATATCCTGGAAGGAAATACTGGGAAGGATGGCGGGGAGCAAGAGAACCAGTTTCCCTTCAGCAATGGGATCTTTTACAACAGGCCACGTCCTTCAAGGTGCCCATGTTATAAGAGCACACAGGACTTGTTCTCACATTTCAAATAATGCCCATTGTCTCAATGAATGTTTATAGGTTTGTTGTTCCAGTTGCTGCAGTTCTAGAAAAATCAAGAATGGGCAACAAAAAGCAACATTCAGATTCTGAGTTTCATAAGTGCATATCTAGCAGAGGCAGGCGGGGTTTTTGTGTTCCTTCATAAAATCTACATGGTTTTCTTCAATATAGATAGTCTTCACTTAATCGACTTTGAAGTTACAATACAGCTAAAGAAGGAGACTTATGACCAGTGCTCAAAATTGTGGCCACTGAAGTGTCCCCAGTCATGTGATTGCAATTCAGGCATTTTGCAACCAGTGCCCATTTACGGTGGTCACAGTGCCCAACAGTCGAGCAATTTCCATTTGGGCTCTTCATAACTGGTTTCCGACAAGCAAAATCAATAGAAAAGCCAGCAGGAGTCATAAGTCACAGTCACATGATGTTGCGCTTAAGGACCTGCAGAGATTCCCTTAATGACTGTAGTGGAACTGACATCAAAAGTTCCACACAATCACATGACATTTCACTTAATAACCACTTAGTGATGGAGTTGCTGCCCATTGTCATCTGTAAGTGAGAATTATCTGTACTTTAAAGTTACATGGAGTGATCTACTGACATCACCAGAGTGGGAGGGATGCTTAGGCATCCATTTCCCTGCTTAAAATGACTCCAAAACTATAAAAAAGAAGGCAAACCTTTTCCATCCCATTTAGGGGTTGCAGAAGGGCTAATAAATGGCAGTGTAAGAGAATATATCCTACCTGACATATAGATCTTAGTAGGGGCAACCTTTACCCAAAACATTATATAGTTCTCCAAGCCCAGTGATGGCAAACCTCTAACAGGCGTGTCAAAGTTTTGGATAACAAAGTTTTTGTTTTGTTTCCGGCATTTATGCCAGAATTTATCAACACCCAAAAACGATTTTCAGAAACACAATTTTCAGAGGCTGTAGAATGGGAAAGATGCAAGGTGACCTTTTTCAGTAGCAGCAATGATATGGGCTGAAGTTGAGGTTCAGACCTCAACTCCAGGCCCAGCCTTAGAGCTGCTGCCAAGTGCCACTGTTCAGGGTGGCCTAAATGGGGGGGGGGGAGGAAATAGAGAATTGTTTCTCTTTTGTTCAGTGTGTGTATGTGACCGACCAGCAGAATGAACTTAGGTATTTTCTGATTTTTTGACATGCCAAGCCCCAAAGGTTTGCCATCACTGTCCTAGCCACAGCATATGCATAAATTCACTAACCTGACAATTATTATAAACCCATCTTTGAATTTCTGCTTTTCTCAACTAGAATCTGAATGTTTCAGGAAACAAGCAGACAACAAACCTTGTAGAAGTTTCCATAGGATTTGCGGATATTAATCCACTTCTTAGCAAAAGAAGGATACTTCAGACGACTAATACGACACTGGATATTTAAAAATTTACTCATATCCCAGGACCTTTAATAAACAATAAGTAAACAAACAAATAAATAAATCACATTTTAAGAATGCCAATTTCATTAGGAAGTTCTTTTAAACTTCTTTTGCAAATTATTTGGATATTCCTTTGGGTATTTCCCCAATTTTCCTGAGATAATTTGTAAATCCTTTTTTAGAGTTCCTGAATCTTAAACAGCCCAACAGTGTTATCTATGGCAACACCTACTGTTAAATTCCTTTTTCAGTGGTCCAAATATACACCAAGAATTTTATTTGCCCAAATTTTCTCATGGAAATATTGTCTTATGCCATGCTCTTGATGTGTTTTTCTGGTATTTTGTTGATCATATCTTTCATTAGTTTTATGATTCATTAAGTTTGTACTGTGATTTTGTAGTTTATTATTCTCTTATGTTACTCATGATACTTCTTGTTAAAATGTAAACAATATGGTCCAAACATTAAATAATCAAAGATATATGAATGCACTCTGCAAATAAGTCATTGTTTAGCTATTTTCATTGTCAAAGAGAAAAACTAGCATATTTATAATCCCCTATATATGTATAGCAGGGGTCTTCAAACTTGGTTCTTTTATGACTTGTGGACTTCAACTCCCAGAATTCCTCAACCAGCTGAGGAATTCTGGGAGTTGAAGTCCACAAGTCATAAAAGGACCAAGTTTGAAGACCCCTGATGTATAGACACTGAATAAAACAGCTGACTTCAATATTCATGTATGAATGTTAATGTTAATAACCTATGCAGATTATTTCTCTTGAATTCAACAAGTTGTAATATACTACGCTCTAAATCAGGGGTGTCAAACTCGCAACATCACGTGACGTGTCACGACGTATCGCGACTTTTTTTTCCATTGCCGGCACTGGGGTGGGTGCGGTTTTGTCATGACGCATCCAGCCTGCGGGCCAGCAGTTTGACACCCCTGCTCTACATTTTAATCAAAGTGTATTTGCTATAACCTGTTCAAAACAGAACGTATTTCTTCTAGTCATGTGCAGCATCAGAGGACAAGCAGGGAAAAGATCCAAGGTATTCTGACATTCCAATCACAACTTCCTATTTAGCTTATTGTAGCAAATACAACCAAACTGAACAACTCCAGAAATGCAACCCTGTCAAAGCTAAAGAACGGTTGAAGAACACTGACATAATTTAATGGCTGCAATTAAAAAATAAGTAGGTTCATCAACTGAACATATGTACATCTCTCCCCAATACATACCCATCTGTTAATATGGAATAGCTGTATTTGCTTCCTAGTTCTTTCTGTTTCATCCAGTCTACAACACGTTGCAGCACTTTGGGGAATTCATCAGCTTTCTCTACCAGTTCCTTGAAATAGTATGAATGAAAATACAATTACTGTATATTAAGAAACTCAGGTATTAATTATACAATGTGAAAATAATATAAAAGGGCTTCTTATTAAAAATCTACTACACTCTTTTTGGTTTTCCACAGTATTAATGCAACAAAATACCCTATATTCATTCTTATTACATTCAGTGAGAAAATACAAACTACTGAAGTATCTGCATATGTCTAATATTCTTCAATGGCTGGGGGAGAGGCAAGAAGGAAGGGAAGATCGCCTGGATTTGACTCTTGCAAGTTGTATTTTCTTCAAGAAAATCCTGCAGCCTGTCAACCATCCTATCTTTCTGGTTGTTCTATTATTTCCCTCTTCTTCCAACCCTTCTCAGCTTGGAAAACTGGAAGAAAGATGCAATTTATGATAGAAAACCTCTTTTTTTTTTCCTCCGCAGAGCCTAACTGTAATATATATATAAAGACTTTAAGCAATAGCAAGTTAATATCAATATTAAAGGTCTTTATCTCAAAAGCATCTAAAATGTCTACTGTTCCATATCAGATTCAATATCTAACAAACCATTACAAACCAAAATATATCAACATATATTTTTCTGGTACTGTACAAAACTCAGTTTGCAACTTACTAAGCAATTAAGAATGTAGCTAGTTTGAGGCTTAATTACCCACAAGCAGTCTTTGCATTATTCCTGCAGCTGGCACTGAGGAAGCAATAAAGCGGTCTTCATCAAGGTAGACCTCTCATGAAAATTACAGGTAGTCCTCGGCTTACGACCACAGTGGACCCCAAAATTTCTGTTGCTGAGTGAGACAGTTGTTAAGTGAATTTCCCCCATTTTACGACCTTTTTTGTTACAGTTAAGTGAATTACTGCAATTGTTACACTGCAGAGCGAATCTGGCTTCCCCCATTGACTCTGCTTGTCAGAAGGTCGCAAAAGGTGATCACAGGACCGCCGAGACACTGCAACCGTCACAAACATGAGTCAGTTGCCAAGTCTCTGAATTTTGATCACGTGACCCATGGGAGTGCTGCAACAGCCATAAATGTGAAAAACGGCCATGTCACTTTTTTCAGTGCTGTTGTAACTCCAAACAGTCATTAAATGAACAGTTGTAAGTCGAGGACTATCTATATACCCCATCCTCTTCTAAACAGTAAATGTACCATTTAAACAATTCACATTATTGATGGCACAAGCAGGTTGTCCAAGTGCATAGAGCACCGATTGGACATTATATGTTTTGCCTCTGACCCAGCCAAATCAGGTATGATCAGCAGTGATTGCTAACAGTATGGTGTTAGAAACCAGTTTGCTCAGAGAAACTCAGAATTCTAATCTATAGAATAGTTACACATTTCTTTATCACAAGCATTTTATTTACAGCCTGTGGTACTGATTTAAAAGAAACACATCTATAAAGAAAAAGAGAAATCAGGAAGCTTAGATCTAAGCCTATGTCACTGATATGCTGTGTTTGCAGTGAGGTATTAGGATTATATCTAATGCCTAAACCATTATCTTTTTTTTTAAAAAAAAGTTTTGCTTAATAAGTGTAGTGTGTGACAGACTATTTACCTGAGAGATTCCCGTCAAATTAATGCAGAAATCTGAGAGTTGAGGATTAATCTCTGGTTTCACATATTGCTGGAAAGTGTCTTCCTACAAAATTAAAGTTAAACATGGGCCATTTCATGATGATACAGACAAAACACAGAAAAGCTGCTCCTTACATACTGTAGCTCATTAATCCGAAGAAATAACAATCAGTCAAACATAATAAGGGTCAGTTGAACCTTAGCAATAAGTACTGCAGTACCATATGTGGGCTTTAGGTAGGATATTCTGCTGCTCCTGCTGCCATGGCTAGGGGCTTTCTTACAACTCTCAGTTCAGGTTCGCAAAGAGTACCAAGAACTGTAATACAGAGTAGTCCATAAGGAAGGATATACATACTATTACAGTCATTACACACCTGACAAAGTATATTAGGGGCACTGTATCTGGACAGCTATGAGAAGATAACCAAGAAATACAGAAAGCCCCATACAGATACATCTGTGATTTAACGTCGTACCTACAACTGCTGATTCCTTACTCAAACCAGCATAGCTAGTGAACCACCCATTGATACCTTGTTTAATTAGTATGCCTATTGTGTAAATACAGCATGCAGACTAGACTATTTCCAGTCAAAACAAATCAGAGAATAGCCATAAATCACTCCACAAAACCGTTTTTCAACCAATTCTGCTAGGAATGTAGCCCATATTGAAACAGTATGCTTAATGCTAAACAAACAACAAATGATAGGTAACTTGTTAGCCACAATCCATAGCAGAAAACTAATGAGCATGAGCATACACATTTATGCTAAGCTTTATGACTTAGTATGATATGCAACTGCATCAGTGTTACCTGCAGAACATTAGACTCAACATCTTAAAAACAAATTGAAAAGCAGCTTCAGGATGTTATCATTTAGAGCAGAAGAGTAGCACAGAAGGGCATTTGGACCATTCTTTGTTGTCTTTCACCCAAAATCATTTTCTCTTTCCCAAACTGTCTACTTGTGAGAATCTAGCCATGTATTTACTTCTGCTTGTTCCACTTAGCAAGAGAAAAGGGAAGCACTTTTTTTGTACAAAATGCCTTTTGTACAAGTAGCAAACATATATTAGTATTTATTTTCTTATGGATATAATTCAAGATCTAAAAAAGATTATGCCAGCCAGAGTTAAGCTGCCTAATTTGTTGATCATATAGCATACAAGGCAGCATAATACCTTTGCTTCGCTATCTATTTTTAAAATGCAAATCTCAATTTTTGATGAATTTATTAAACTATCCAGGAATCAAGTAGGACAGAAATACTTACTATTTGTAACGTCTGAGTATTTAGTAAAACGATAGGAAATTCGATTATTTCATGTACAAATTCTGGCTGATTTTTTTCTTCACAAGTTGCTTCAAAGTCAATAACACAGATATAATTGTAGTAGTCTTCTGCATTTGGAGGTTGCTTGTACATTAATTTTTCTTTCTTATAGTAGTTTTTCAGCCTCTTTTTTAATACATCTTTTACTCCTCTGTTAAAAAAAACATTAGTGATTATTTTTAGGATATTTTATTATACAGTAGTGGCCAAAATTGTGGAAACCTTTTGGGAAAATGTACATTTGAGGTTCGATGGCTAATAACACCACTTTTTTGGAGTAGTACTATAAAATTATATATCAATGGAAAGATAATTTAATCAAGAACGTAATGCAATAACCTTTATGAAGGATTTGCTATTAGAAGAGCAGTTATAAAGAAGAAAAGTGAAACACGTAGAAAAAACGAGATATACAAAAATTATCACTATAGAAAAAACGATATACAAAAATTATCACCATAGAAAAAACGAGATATACAAAAATTATCACCATGTCAGTTAATACTTAGTTGGGTAACCTTTAGCATGAATTATGGCCATGGAGTGAACCAAGTCCTTTAGTTCTGCAGCTGTTATAATGTGAAACCAAAATTGAATGATTGCTTCTATTAACTGGGTTTTATTGCTGGGTCGCTTCTGACTAACAAGTTTCTTTAGTCGGTTCTATAAATTTTCAATTGGGTTAAGGTCTGGACTATTCCCAGGCCGTTCCAGCAGTGGAATATGATTAACTTGAAACCACTTTTTGCACACAGCAGTAACATGATATGGAGCTGAATCCTGTTGAAATATAAATGCTTCATTGTCTTGGAAAAGATCATGTGTGGAAGGCTTCAGTTTGGGCTCAAATATTCCACTAATGTATTTTTGGCCATTTATATTCCCATTAATCACACAAATTCTGCCCACACCTTTTGATGTCATACAACCACAGATCATAACACTGACTGGGTGTTTCACGGTACATGTAATGCAATCAGGATGCAAATCTTCTCCGATTCTTCTCCTTACGTATTTTATGCCATCACTACCAAACAGGGAGATCTTGGTCTCATCACTCCAAATAACACTGTCCCATTGTTCCTCAGTCCAGGTAACATGGGTTTTAGCCCAGTTTAGTCTTTTCAACCTTTGAGAGATAAAAGTGGCTTTTTTCGTGGAATTCTAGATTTTAGACCAAATTCCTGCAGTCTGTGCCGAACAGTCCTTGCACTCAATTTCACATTGCATTGCGCCATTTCATCTTGTATACACCCAGATTATTTTCTTCTGTCACATAGGCACAGTCTCTTAATTCTTCTATCATCACTTGCTGTTGTGCATCTTTTCCTGCCTTTACCAGTGTGGTTTTGTAGTGACTGAGTCTCCTTATACCTCTTCAAAAACTTAGAAATGCCACCTTTGGTTAAGTTTCCACCAACCTTTCTTCTAATTTCTATAACTGTAGTCTTGTTCACTTAATAATACTATTTTACATTGCTTTCTGGGCGACCAGTCAACTCTTTGCACCATCATTTAAATTTTATTACGTTTTACAAGCTCACTAAATGAAAGAACACAAAAAAACGCAACCAACTTGATAGCGATCACATAACACACTGACAAGCGTCCTCCTCTCAGCTTCAATACATCACATCAATAACTGAATCCTACTGTGATCTGATTGGCTCATTGCCAAAGCAAGATGACACTTGATTGGCTCTCTAAACACTCATGCTCATTGGCTACAATCAGATGAAAGAAAGCTACCTAATATCAATCTAAGCAAGCTGTGCTTCCTTTTTCTGGTTATTTGGCTATTAACTTTTCATAGAATATAGGTAACTGAACAAACTTTGTTGCATTACATTCTTTATTAAATTATCTTTCCATTGATATATAATTGTATGGTACTACTCCAAAAAAAGTGGTGTTATTAGTCATCAAACCTCAAATGTACACTTTTCCCAAAAGATTTCCACAATTTTGGCCACTACTGTACTGCTGAGTTAGAACAGAAATGTAGCATCTCTTAATCCATTTGGACATTATCTCTCCTAATGCCAAACCTGCTTTTAATAACTTCCTCCAACAGAAATGGCAAGAATGACCTACTCTGATCTGCTTGCATCAAACTAGGCTCAAAAGGAAGTTGCTCCTACTGTGTAATTCTCCAGAGAAAGAGATAAAACATGAGCAGACACATTTAACAGGATTATAATATTCCCTATGCCTTTAAGAAATTTATGACATTATTTTTAGACAAAACGTATTCCAGTTTTTACTTAAGTTGTTTGCAATGACATGAACAGTATTTCTGCACAAACAAGTAATCCCTTCATGTATATTTCAGGTAAGTTAAATAGTCTCTAGGACAGAGAATAGAAGGAACACTGTCATGTACACTATTTACAAAAAACATCATATATAAAAAAATTGTGATGCCATTACATAACTGGCACAAAAAGCTATCTTCTAAAAAGTCAGACCATAGTTCCACCTAACCCCAGTAAGGTCAATTACAGCTGAGAGGGAATTCTAGGTGACCAATCAAAAGAGTTTCTTTCAACTCTACCTGGAAATGCCAAGAATCACACCTGGGACAATTTGGGTGTGAAACCTACATTCTATCACTAAACCACCACCAATCACAAAGTATTTTTTTTCTCTTTGTTCCAACTTTAATTTAGGTATGCAATTTATTCACCGCCTCAGTCCAAGTGGATTCTTGGGATGACATCAAATCACTAAAACTAAATACTGTATGTACATATAAAACAATAAAAGTATAAAGGCCTGTGTCCTCAAACACCATTTAGAAAAGTCAGGTCTTTACTAGCCTCTGGGAGGCAATTATGGTATGGGTCTTCCTTGCCTAGGAGTCAGCTGTTAGTAAGACAGCTGCCTCAGGGAATGTTTCTTATTGGGTCCCTTGTCAATGAAGAAGGAACTCTTCTACTATTTAGGTTTCCTTTTTTTTCCACATAGGATTTTCTTAATCTTTTCAATTCAATTGTCACTGAATTCTTGAATTTTTTTTCATCAAACGAGACTTTCTAAAAAGTTCACGCCTTTAGCTGAAGATATGGAGAGGTATAAAGTGCTATAATGCAAATTCTAGCATCACAACTTTGTGTAAGATTTCATACTGAAGAATCTGTTTATGACTTTGCAGTGTGAAATCCTTCTCTGCCAACAAACTCTTCCAATGATAGACTTCTCTGCAGAAACAATTATCCATAATGTACAGAGCTTCTTCCTTCTACAAATGATAAAAGCATCTCAGAAGAAAGATCCACGAGAGGTGACTTTATTAATTCCACCTTTACACATGTAGTAAGAAACACATCACAAAATGTATGCACTCACACACGGTTGGTTACCTGGTGTCAAGTCTGAATTCAGCAAGTTTAGTTCTCAGCTCTTCTCTATTCATTCTATTGATATAACCATTTGTCAGAGAAATCTCTTTGTAGATTGGATCGCTGAAATCACCTGAATTAGATTTTTTATTATTTTCTTCTTGAAAATCAAACTGGCAGCACTGCTTACTCTGACAGAAAGGCTGTATGATGAGAAAAAAAAGTTGTGTAGTTATAATTGTCTTTATCTTCAAAAGCTTGAATAATAACTTTATTCAACATTATCTAGAAACAATGACATTGGGTCATTGTCCAAAGGCAGAAGTGATCACAATATTATATTGAAAAAGCCCTCACTTAAATACTGAGATGTGCAATTTATTCACTTCTTACTAACATCCAGCTTTTGAAATGCATTCTTTTAAAGAAAGGAACCTGCTACTATAATTGTTATGTGAGCCTAATCTTGTTCATGGCCCATCAATTAGCCAAATTTCCTACTTAGTCATCAACGTGGCACCCTGTAAATGAGCATAACTCTCACTGTTAAGGGATTTAGCAACATTTCAAAACAGGCCCAAAGGCAATATTATTTTATTTTATTTTAAATTTTAGAATTGTGAATAACATACAATAGGCATATGTATTTAACTTGCTACACTTTCCTTCTTTACAGTATTTTTTATAGGTTCTTATATTCTTTTTTGAAGATAGTTAAGTTTAAAGGCTTGGTTGACTGGAAGGTTGACTGCTCGAGACCCAGGTATTGTGACGGGATGAGCTCCAGCTCCTGCCAACCTAGCAGTTCAAAAGAATGCAAATGCAAGTAGATAAATAGGTATCACTTTGATGGGAAGGTAACAGTGTTCTGTGTGTCTTGGTGTATAGTCATGCTGGCCATATGACTACAGAAGCATCTTCAGACAACACTGGCTCCCTCGGCTAGGAAATGGAGATGAGCATCACTCCCTAGAATTGGACACGACTGGGCAGGGGAAATCTTTACTTTTTTTTCTTCTTTTTTTTTACCTTTTTAAGCTTAAAGTCAATAGGTAAATACCAGTAAAGGAAATTATAGAAACTATAGTAGAAGTATATCCTGATGAGTTTTAGTGGTCAACAGTTAAGAATAGGCAAAATATGGTTGATATAATTTAACAGTTACAGACACTTATGAAAAAGTTTTCTCAAGTATGAATCTAAGGGCTTTTGCTATTTCCCACTTAATGCCCACGCATCTGGAGTTACAATCGGAACTGGATTGCCAGAATTGCCATTGCTAAGTAATATAAATGTATACTTAGCAACATACATTTCAGTCTCAATAGTGATAAACTACCTGTAGCACAATTTTTTTTCTGTAACACTGCAAGATTTCTTGGGTATTTCCAGGTAACGCAAACAGCTTCCCTCACTGTCCCTTTTACTAACAGTCCAAGCAAAGCACTGTCATTTGTTTGCCTATACTATTTTTAAAAAAAAAACATCATTAAGATGTAAAACATGTTTGCACCTTTTAATTAGGAATGCTACCACCACCACCTCTTGGAAATGTCATGAGGTTGGGTTTCTTAGTTTTAGCACAGATTCCTCCTTTGGGCAATGATCCATCTTGGTTATTATGTAAAGTGCAACTGGGAAGACGAAAGTCAACGGACTACAACAACCCTTTATAAGCGCAAGGCTTCTTCAAAGGCCCCGGGCCGCCCGGCTCTCTCATGCAATCGCTCCGCGGCCAATTTAGAGCGGGGCAAAAGAGGATTCCGCGGGAGACCCGATTCCCCGGGAAGCACGAACGCTTTCCCGCCGCGGTCCAATTGTTTCCACTCTCTCGCGCCGCTGCTCCTCCTTCGGCAAGGGAGGAGCTCTGAGCCCTTCGACCGCTGACGGAAGGAGCTTTCCAGCTGGGACGGTTACGTCTCTGGGCGCCAAGCGCGAAACGGCTGCGCAGTCGCGAAGGGACACTTACCGAGGCCGCGCTGGCTTCCGCGTTCTCCTCCCCGGTGTGCTCGCGTCGCGGCACGTTCTCTTTTTGCTCCTCCATTTGGCTCTCTCCCCGTGGTCGGGAAACCTCGGCCTCTGTCGCACGCGCACGCGCGGGTCCTGCGGAGGGGAGGGGGAGGGAAGGCGCCAAACCTTTTTTCCACCAGACAAAACACCACACCGGACTGGGTGACGTCAGAACGCCCCTCGCTCCTCCTCAATGGTGGATCGGGGGCGGGGTCGAGAGCGGGGACGCCTCCGCAAGGATGAGGCGGGAATGTAATGTGACGTCAGGGCCCGGCGGAAATTAACGAACGTGGCTCGCTCTTCGCGCTTTGGGAAGGGAGGGCGTCTTTTTGCGCGCTGCCCCCCCCCCTCGGCCAGGCTTTCCTTCTGCAATTTGCGCGGGAAGGGCCGGACCGGATCGGGCTGGAGGGTTCTTGTTCGCTGCTTTCCCAAGTGGCTGCCAGGAACCGCGGGGGCTCCCGGAGGCGGACAGCCGATTCCGCTGGGAATGTGGCAAAATCAGATTGCGATTTATTAATTAGAGAAAGATTTCTTTTATAAATCCAAAATTTTATTTCTCAATCCTGACCTCTGGAGCGTTCTCACTGGGGATTAAGGGCACAATGCTGGTCTCTGCCTCTGAAAACGTTACGGGGGCGGCAGTATATTCCTTATTAGGAAAAGATAGCATTTTGGAACTTACTGGTTGGGAAGCAAATTAGAGTTAAGACTTCGATCCTGGACACGCTTCTAGGCAAATACACATAGGGTGATTCGAATGAATTCAGGCCTGCTGTAAAAAAAACCCCGGACTTCTGGGTTATTTAATGCCATTATCAGGAATCCTGTGGTTGTCAATCAGGCTACAGTCTGGGTGAAAGGCACAAGGTGTCTGTGCCCGTCTGTCTCTGAAATTATGCTTCCTTGATATTTACAGCAGGGTGCAAAAAGAAGATCTGGTTGCATCAGCTTTCTGTCTGGGGGTTTTCTTTATAGTTCTTTTGCTGGCAAGCACTGTAGTAGCTGAAACATTTCCATTTTGGGATGCTATCCTTTCTTGCTGATTTTTCCTGATTGTCTTTTCATCTGGTAACAGATTAAATGATTCTTATTAATTTTGAAAGATCAGTGAAATTCAAATCAATGTACACGGTACAAAAACGTCAGTATGGGTGACTTCTTGAGATAAAGAAGTTATCGGGTTAAAAAGAAAATTACTAATTTATTATATACTGTATGTTAACTTCAATATGTGAAATTTGGCATTTTGTAGAATGAGAAAATTATATAGAATGCCAAAAATGGGATGTCAAAGTATGAAACAGTTAATATTTCACACATTTCCTAGGTATTCCATGGAAGACCAAAAGGCAAACCGACAAAGTATAAAATACTCTTGCTAGTGACATTTTTATTGTGATGTGAGGCACGTGATGTCAGTGTACTATAGGCCCAACTTTTTTCTACCTGAGGCCTTATGTGGGTTTGGGAACATGGATAAACAGCAAAGTACTTTTTTTGGTTTTCAGAAAACTGGAAAAATATATATAATACTTAAAATATTAATATTTAGGTTTCTCTTAATTTACTACAAAAGCCAAAGGAATACTTGTGTTGTCCCAAAGGTGCTTTTTCAAAAGGCAACTGAACTTTGTTTTTGCTTGAAGATGTTTCACTTCTCATCCAAGAGGCTTCTTTTGAAAATGCATCTTTGGGACAACCATGTCCTGGATGGCTGACAAGCTCCATAGACAAATAGCTGTGTTACCCTTTTGCAGTGAAAATATAATATGGCAATTTAAAGACATGTAAGTGTTAACATATTTGTTAAGGTGGCAGAAGATTCTCTGTTGGATCATTCTTTAAGATTTAGTTCCTTTCTATTGTATGTTTGTGTTTCTTTAATGGAAGGTATCCAGTGATGAGATTCAGCCAGTTCGCACCACTTCGGCAGAACCATTAGCTAATTTTTTGTTGCCCAGGCCCAGAATGGACTTCCAGAAGCAGCATCCGGTTGTTCACATATTTGAATCCCACCACTGAAGGTATCTATGTGTAGTTGCTGAAGTGCAGGGAAGGTTTTTCATTGTTCACCTTTGAAAACCAATATAAAATCAACTGGCATAGGCCACTCCAGTAAATTGGTCTGTTACACAACATATATAAAGTTTTCAACAATTCCTAATGGAGTTTTCCCAGTGAAATGAGATTCTTTTCTTGTCTTCTATTGTTATTCGTTTATACCAGATAGCTTGGAATTATTCTCATGCACCAGTTTCATTTTCTAAATTTGGCATTGATTAGGCTACTCAAATGCATATTATGAATAAATATTACTTAAATTGCTTTTGCATTGGATTTTTTAATATATAAACATAGCTTACCTGGTTTGAACGTTTCCTTAGAAAAATATTTCTTTTGGATAGGCCATGACTGTGTGCCTGGGCAATGGAAATTCTTAAAGAAAATATGAGACTACTTTTTAAATGATATTTTAAATAATATGTATAATCTAACAAAAAAATGAGAAGGAGGGTTGTATTACAAAATTGAAAGACTGCATCATTTATTATTGCATTATCTAGGAAACAAATACAAGATCTAGCACAAGAAACAAATCAAAGGAAGTACTGATATATATTTGCAGTGTGTATTGTTTGATAATTATTTTGTGCTTTTTTTCCTTTTGACATCTTTAGAATAAAAGCAGCTTTTGAATCTGTCAGTTTATAATTCTCAAAGAGTGTCACTTACTATTGAATGTTTATCAAAACGTCTGTTTTTGGCTTCAGAGTGGCAGTATAAATACCTGTAAGCAAAGCAGATAGACTGTTGGATTCAAGAAGCAATTTACAATTGCTAATGGCTGAGGATTCTAAAATTAAATAAAAAAGCCACAAGGAAAGTGGGCAACCCTGATGAGTATCATGTTGTAACTCGAATCTGAAATCAGTTGATTTGTTGTAACTTGCACACTAGGCTGTTGATAATAAGCATTTGTCCATTTAATAAAATTTCACTCATTACTTGCTTAAGAAAATTAATCTGGACCATATCCAAAGTGCAGCAAGATCAGGTTTGTTTTGAGAATGTTAACAAATGCAAATTATTCAGTGTTTGGTTTTTTTGTTTTTAATAAATCTTAAAGGAGCAAATTATATAAAATGAAGTTGCCTGGCCAAGAAAGCAATTAATATCCTTGTATCAACATTAATTAATGAAATAGTTTTACAATGTGTACAAATTTGTACAGAATCATTACCAGATTTTAAAATAAAGGATTAGAGAATTTGACAGCTTAAATACTTTATGACTTTTCAGTTGGCATAAAAAATATTCGGCTGTGGGAACAGTAGCCAACAATTTCTCATAAGAACCATAATATGCAATACTTTTTAATAAAGAGTCCTTTTTATAGCTAGATAATTTCTAGGAATATGCAGATATCTTACCTCTGGAGGTAGGAATTCACCTTGAAAGGCATATAAAGTTTCTTTCCTCCTTTAGGAAACCATCGGATGGACGTGTCCACTCCAAATCCAATATGTCCTTCAGCTCCTGAAGAAATTGGCATCTCTGCCTCAGTGAAAAATAACAGAAAATCTATCCATGCAAAACTTATTAGGCCTTTTCGCCTTTTGTTCCTGCTGAATTTACAAACCAGAGCTCCAATAGTGAAATTACCTTGAAGGGAGCCTTCTTTCATTTGGCCACCTTGAATGTAAATATTGTTTATCACAGTAGCCATGGTAGCAGTACCGTATGGCCTATTCATAAGACAAGGAAACCCTGACAAATACATTTCACTCTAGAAACCCCAACTCTATGTCACTTTCTTTGAATTCTGCTTGGGAGGAAAGCCAGCTGAACTGACATACTATATAAATACCTCTGAATATGTTTCCTCCTAAAAATGTGCATCAGAGTGTGGTGTTCCATGGCAACAGTGCAGTAGGAGAAAGTAGAATTTACTTGAATGGGTAATCTGTAAGCACATTTGCATCTGACTGTGAAACATGATTGGTAGAGAAAGCACATTGCATATTAATATTATAGGAGAAATACAACCTGATTATAAAAATATCCCTAGTTATGTCTGGGCAGTTTCACTTGTCCCATTTCCTTTTCATTTGTTTATCTGACTTTTTAAAAATACTCATGTCTCCCGGCAGTACGTCAGAGAAACCTCATGTCCCTCCACGAGCATTTAGAAGGGCCCATTTCTATAAACAACCAAGTGGGAAAGGTTTTTTGGGTTTTTTTTGCAGTTCTGTAGGAAGCTACTTGAAGCATAATGGAGATGGAGATTAAAGGCTTTATTTATATGTATAGAGGTCATAAAATCTCGTAGGACTGGAAGGGACCCTGGAGGTCTTTTACTTCAATATCCTGCCCAAGGCAAAAGACCTTATTGCATCCTGGGCAAATGGCTGTCCAATCGTTTACATCTTCATCTGCCAAATGTCTTGTTATATGTGAAGGTCTTTTTGATGGTGAGCCCCTGAAAATCCAGCATAAGTGATCCCACTGTCTATAGGATAAGTTCAGCGTTTGATGAGATTAGGCTGGGATGCTAAAGAAGATGGCATTTTACATAAAGCTCAGCCCAAAGTCAGCATATGGCTTCTTACACACACATGCATGGTTGTCTGTGATGCTTTAACCAGATTCTTAGGCTTATCCTGTAGTTCAAACCTGAAACTACTGCCATTTTATTTTTACAGAAACCAGAATCTGACTTCGAACAAGCTTTTGTTTCCAATTCTGATTTCACCCAACCCAAAATAGCATCCATATCTTAAATTTAGTCAAGTTGAGTCTAAGACTTCTGAGCACCACATGCAGTGGAGGATAAGTTAGTAGCTCAACAATTAACCAATGGAACAACTTGCCTCCAGAAGCGATGAATGCTCGAACACTGGAAGTTTTTAAGAAGAGACTGGACAGCCATCTGTTCGAAATGGTGTAGGGTTTCCTGCCTGAGCAGGGGGTTGGAGTCGATGACCTCCAAGTTCCCTTCCAACTTTATTACTATTATTATTATTATTATTATTATTATTATTATTATTATTATTATTATTATTATTATATGAATGTACCTGTTCAATAACAGCAAATCTTTCTAAAAATTAACTGCTCTGACTTTTTTTTTTACTCATTCAACTACAAATGCTAGGAGACTCAACTATATACTTGTAGTCTAGAGGGTAGTATTTTTTTCCTATTGAAAGACATTGTTTTAAACTTACCCCACCCCACCCCACCCTGTTCAGCTAGCCATTACATTCCACCTACAGTCAAGCTTCTAATATCCCCACCCCAGCCTTCCCCAGACAAATATATACATGTTTAATGTTGTACAGTCTTCATCAGGAGGAATGGTGTTAAATAAAATACAGTATGATTGTTCAGAATGTATCTTTCTTCATTTCTTATTACAAAAACATATTGCTGCAACATAGCATGGTGTCCAAGGGGCCGTATAGGTATTTTAATGGTATTCATTTCCATTTTTACAAGTGATCTTTTCTCAGTTCTATCCTTCATTATAGCTTTTTGAAAGAGACTAATTGGAAACTATCAGACAAATGCACACATGCCCAGCAGAAAATATGTATTCAAACCTTTCTTAAGCAGCAAGAAAGAAATAGAATCTGAAGTGGAATAAAAAGAAACGAGAAACAGAATCTGAAGTGGAGTGATAGCTTCTTTGGAATGAAATTTAGAGATGGAAAATATTGCTGGATGAACGGTGATAATGCTGGTTTCCTTAGCAATG